TGTAAACAACTCATTTAGTGTCCAAGTCTTGTTTCTATTTAAATTTTTTTTTTAAAAAAAAAATAGATAGATATGAGGAATGAGACTTGAACCTTGAGTCTAATAAATAAAATTCTTACCTCATAAGCAATATGTAATACATAATAAATATTTTGTTTTAGTTTCACTTATTTGAATTTCACATGTCACTTGTGTTAGCTGCTAGTGTGTGTATATATATATATGTGTGTGTGTGTGAAGGAAGAAATATATGGGATAATAGCACCATAAAGATCAAATTTTGAATAGCTTAAGCATTAAACAAACTATTATTAGTCGGGTAAGTGGTAAGTGAAGAGTATTGTTATTTAGACGCAAAAATTAGATCCGTATTTTAGATTTAGTGATGCATCATGAAAATGATTAGTTGATAGTAGTTAAATAATTTATAATTATCAACCGATCATCTTTTTGATCCATCATTAAATCTAAAAAGTGGATTTAAAAAATTAAATTTGTATATATTTTTCGGTGAGTAAAATAATGGGGTGGAATCAGCTTGTTTTTTAAGAAGGCCAAGTCCCCCACTTCAAACCAATTGCATTTGAATGGGGTTGAGGCAGACATACGAAAGAAGCCGCAAAGCAAAGCAAAGAGATGCTTGCTTTTGTCTTGTTGATGCTTCTGGCATACGCCGGTTTGTTATTCCCTACTTCTTTCCAAAACAACAACAAGAACATTTTCATTTTGGCCGGACAAAGCAACATGTCCGGCCGAGGCGGCATTAATAACGTCACTTGGGACGGTGTCGTGCCGCCTCAATGTCAACCTAACCCGGCAATCCTCCGACTCAGCTCAGACCTCAACTGGGTGGAGGCAAGCGAGCCCCTCCATAAGGACATTGATGTGAACGTTACTTGCGGGGTTGGACCTGGAATGGTGTTTGCCAATACTGTGTTGGACAACAAGAACTTGAGCTTTAGCATCGGGGGGGTTGTGGGATTGGTCCCTTGTGCGATCGGCGGGACCAAGATAAGCGAGTGGGCTCGTGGGACTTATCTTTACAACCAGTTGGTGAGTCGAGCTAGTGCGGCTTTGCAAGATGGTGGTGGTTCGATCCAAGCAGTGCTGTGGTATCAGGGTGAGAGCGACACTGTGAATCCAGATGACGCTGCTTTGTACAAGGGCCGACTGGAGAGATTCTTCATGGACCTGCGTGCTGATCTGCAATCTCCACTGCTACCCATTATTCAGGTACCAGAAATGATACATTCCTCTAATTTTGAAGCTTTAATGATATGAAAACTCAAAAAACAATATAAAAAATTTAAAACCAAAATATCACATCAATAGGTGAGCCCACCCCTAGAGCTCATATTTTAGAGTTGCCAAACATTTTTCATTCCAGCTTTGATAGAGAGCTCTAGTAGAACTGCTCTAAAAAAGGGGGGGAAGCAGCTCTATTAAGCTGGCACACCCCCTCCCAAAAAAAAATAAAAAAGAAGAAAAGACAAAACACAAGGGGAAAAAAGACAAATTAATGCTATTTTAGAGCTCTTCTTCTTTTAGAGCTGTAAAACATTTTTCTTTTCATTTAGGTACATACACACACAGCACACACTCTAGTCTTCTAGTTGCTTTTTGTTTTTGAATAATCTGTGGTTGGATTGGAACTCATTTCATTAGGTGCAACTAGCCCAACTACTTCAAAAGTTTGAAAATTGATTTTTGGTATATATGGGGTAGGTGGCATTGGCATCAGGACAGGGACCTTATATTGAGAAAGTGAGAGAAGCTCAGTTGGGAATAGATCTTGCCAATGTGAAATGTGTGGATGCCAAGGGATTGCAACTGGAACCAGATCATTTGCACCTTACCACTCAAGCCCAGGTTCAACTAGGGGAGATGTTGGCTAATGCATTCCTCCAGACTCTGCCCAGCACCACTTCAGAGTAATGGCCCCAAAATATCTCACAATTTTTTTGGATGGGACCTTTTCCATAGTCCTCATGTTTAGATATTTGAATTTCATAGTTGAGAAGGATATCATTTGATTGTACTAATTTATTAATCAGGGCCAACCTTCTAATTTTTTCCATAAATCATGTGCTGAAGTTTCAGTAGCAACATGATGAAACACACTGTCATCAATCCATTGACGGATAACACCAACGGCTTTTCGATTAAGCCTATTCCATTCATCATCTTTCATACCCTCGGGTTTGCCAGAATCACCCTCAATGGGTCCATATAAATCTTTACAAAATAATAGGTCCTCCATTTTAGTTTTCCAAGTTACCCAATTGCTTCCATTGAAGCTAGACATACGACCCACATTTCCCTCCATTGATTTACACAAATAAATAAACCCAAATAAACCGTATGCTCTGATACCAGTTGTTAGGGAAAATCAATGATTCTCCACA